AAAAAAATTAATTGCTATGTAATTGATAAAGTATAAATTAGATTTTAATACAAAATATTTCCTATAAGCAATCAGATGAAATATATTTCGTTGTTTTTTTGTTGTCTATACAATTGCATTAATTTATTTCGAAAAAAAAAGTCGTTAGTAGATAAAGTGCCATGAAATATATTTAGGGATGCTGGCTGTTGTCGGGGCTATAAACTTATAGATGAAGTGAAAGAAAATGTTATGTTATAATTGTTTTCAAATGAAATAAGATGTTGAAAAAAAAAATTTAATAGTACGGTTGGTACATTTGAGGGTGTTGCATCATAGAAAATGCCTGATTATTCACATTAGAATTCATTAAAGGATAAAATGATTGTTGAGGGTATGCAGAATATTGACCTTGATTATTCATCATCATTTCCTGTTGACGTCTTTGTTGTCGTTCGATTCGCTGCATTTCTTGTGAGTATTGTGCACGTTGAAGACGACGTAAAGTTTCAGGAGAACCTGGTCGTGAATGAGAGCCAAAATGAACAGGTGATCCCCTTCCTTCTGCCTGTGCGAAATATGCTGGTGAACCTGGTCGAGATCCAAACATTTCAGGTGATTGTGGTCGTCGACGATATCTAACTGGAGTGCCAGGTGGAGGTTCATCAAAATTCTCCCTTGCTTTATCATCCTTTTTTGCACGAGATCTTGATCGATTTAGACCCAATGCATTAGCTATGAAATTTAATGGAGATGAACGACCTCCTTCAGCTTCCTCTCCTTCATAACCCTCTTCCTCGCCTACTATATATGGTGAATTATGATTGTGGGGACCAACAGTTCCAGCATAAGGACTTGTTGATCTTGCTCGTAATTGTACATATCGTGCTGCTTGTTCAGCACCCATTTGATATACGATATCCGGTAGAGGTTCTGCATCCCTTGGTGGTCCACCAAAATTACCAAATTTCTTCCGTTTTCGAAAAACACGCATTATGATTAGAGAAATAAAACTGATAAGAAAAACTTGTTTGTTTTCATCATATTTATATGACGAAAATGCAGTCAACCAAATCGGACAAGGGAAATAATCAATTAGTTGATGAATAATTATTATTACATTGTAGATATCATTTATTTTGAAAAAAAAACATGCTAGCAAAATCATTATTTTTACATTTACTCCTATTTAACAGTAGTTGTATCCTTAATTGATCAAATTTGTAATATTTGAGGGTCATATTTAGTGGTCTACACGCGTGATATACGTAGGATGTATATTTATCAGCACTTTTTTATTCTATAAATAGATAAAATCATGAACAGTTCGTCTATGACGGCTTCTTTCAAATATTATCATAGATATACATGCATCCGTCTTTTTTTTTCTAAAGACAAATCAATATCAATCTTATGTATCTTTCATTTGTACATAACCGACAAGGATATAGTAATAGTGTAGCTAATGATTTATCAAAAATAAAAATCTCAAAAAAAAAAAGAGAGTGCGCAATTGCTTGACTGACTAATATTATTCAGATGATCACTTGAGAAGAACAAGAAACATGGCTGTTGTTCAGACTAATAATGAAAATCAACAAAAAGTATCATTACCAAGACGAATAGCAAGTAAGTTTAGCTTAATTGATACATATGTTTACCTATACAAATATACTTTTAACTCGTTTGAATTAACGGCAAATGAATGTTCACAATTATATGTAAATATATTGAGATATACATTGAAGATACCAATTGTTCTCAACTTAAGTTTGACATTACCACTCGAAAGATACGCTTTCTTTTTTAATAGGATAAATTTTATGATATGGGAATGGTTCATATATATATATATATATGAGTCTATTTTATCATCTAGCTGATTTGAGCTATGCATAGGCATAACAACAGATGAACACAAAAAGAAAAACGAAGAGATCGATCGAACACACACACGCGTACGTGAGGATCGAATTTCCTTTCCATTCTTCATCGCCTGTTTTTTTTGTGCCTATTTGTTCGCAATTGAGGACGATGTTCACTTGTTGTGCCGACAAATGAAATAGTGTAGGTATCTAATTCTTACAAACAAAAAAGACCTCGTACCGAACAACGAAAAAAAAGAATGTGCATATATATATATACTCGATATCTGAGTCGATCGGATGTGTTTTAACACCTACGTTATTGAAAAATGAAGAACAACAATTTCTCTACGTAATTCAGATAGTTGTGGTTAGACGGGTAACTAAAGACAGTATTCTCTCTCTCTTTCTTTCTTCTTTCTTTTTATATATATATGTATATTAATAAGCGGTTCACTGATAGGGCATTGGCATTGTATTGAAAAGAGAACTAACGAAACACCTGTTGATTTGTTTTAACAATCTTTTTCTCTTTTCCAGCATACATTGCTTCAATGAATTTTACTAAAGTATTTCGTCGTCACCAATCTAGAGAAGCAACTTTATCTAATATCAAATCATCGGAAAGACCATCATTGATTCATCAGCATCATCGATATAATCGACCATTTTCTTATCATATTCCAAAAACTGAACAATTATCATCACCACCATCATTAACTAAACTATCAACTATCGTTCCATATCGAATTGGTTTATCAAGTGATAGTACACTTGTAACTAATAATCAAGCAAATCAAAATGATGAAATTATTCGTTTACCATTAAAAAGTGTTAAAGCACATAAAGATCGTCGTTATCAATCACAATTAAATGCAAATAAACGTTGGTTATTTCGATCGATGGAAACACTTGATGGTTGGAAAGGCAAAGTATTTCCACAGAAAGTTCGAACAACTAAGTATGTAAAACAAATGATGATTATGTCTTATTCATTTTCTTTTCGTTTTAGTTCTAGTCAATCACGATCACGTAGTGTTGAAAATTTAACTAATGATAATTCTCATAACAATATTCTATTAAATCATAATCCACCAACAATAAAACAACAACGTGCCATATCATCTAATCGAAGTATTGAAGGAATTACCAATCGCGTAATTCATGGTATTGGTATTCATCGAAAATCTACGAATTCTATACCTAATCTTACACGTAGTCCAGCATTAACTATTAAAAAACAATCATTATCTACTCATTTAATTAATGATCATAATAATGAACGAAATTCTTCAGCTATTCTTGATTTTCGTGAAATATCTTCTATTGGATTTTCACAATCAAGTAATATAAATCTAAATTTTATTTTTCTAAAATTCTTTTTTTCGTATTTTAGGAACAATAATAACAGATGAAAATGAGAATATTTCTATAACACGATCAGAAAATAATAATAATAATGATGATGAAAATGACGAAGTGACAAGTAATTTATCATTTCTTGGTAATAATTATGAGCATAATGGTAATAATGAAGCAGGTGATTCATGGGATTTTAGTATTACATGGATTGATTCTCTTAAACAACAACAATCACCTCAATGTAAAATACAATTTTATGAAAATCTCATTAAATTACTTGAACAAGATACACTAAATATTGATGAATTACTTGTTTTACGTAAAGTTCTTGCTAAAATTTGGCCTACAGATGAAACGACAATGGATTGTAATAATCAATTAAATTCTCTTAATTCAAAATCACTTCAAATTTCAAATAAAATTAAACAACGTTCAAAACTACCTGCTATGGCACATCATACAGCACAACGATGTTCAACTATTCTTGAACAATCACTCGTAGTTTATGAAACATTAAATGAACAACAAAGTGGTCATAATACAAAGCCATCGTCGACATTATTTACTACTAAAGCTAGACCATGTTTTATTGAAAATCAAAATGATAATGTTAATATTGAACAAACTTATCCTCAACATTTAAATCCATTCGACGATACAACAAGTATAGAGAAAATAGATATAACACCATCTGCACCATCAAAAGAACTTGATCAGAATAATAATAATGAGTCAATTCGTCGTTATTTTGAACGATTAACACTTCTCGAAACAATTTATGAAAAATTAAATATTGAATCAAATAAAACACCATTAGAAACTATAGATCATCATGAAAACTCTTCAACACAAGCAAATACAACTGAATCAATACCACAAAAACATTCTCCTATTGAAAAACAAATAGAAATAAAACAAGATATTTCCAATCATTCTCATACACAATCAAGGAATAAGATCGGTATGAGAAGAATAAAAATAAAATTACAATATCTTCTATATATTAATTTTCTAGATACAAATAAAACAAAAACAAATAAATTTTTTGAAATGAATGTTGATGGAAATGGTAGTGTTAGTAGTGGGAAAAGTTCTATTAAACGACGAGCACCAACTGCTCCACATATAACACAAAATGATAATAATCATCAAAAAAATCCGGTAAGTATCTCAAGTATTATGATTCATATTGAATAATAGAAAGTTTTATAACATATTCTTTAGAGAGGTAATAAAATACTTCTATCTTTTCGATTGATAAATCAATTGACTGATCTTCTTATTCAATAATCTTGAATATATTTTCATTGTAGCCTATGTTTGTCTTATCATCTACTGATATCAATATACTACATAAAACTAATCAAGAAATAAGTCCACCGATTCAATTTCTCACTCATACTGAAAAATACTCAAATATAGTTAGTCCAAAAGAAAGATTATCTTCACCAATAGATAATACAACTGCTTCATGTGATGATCATGGACATATTTTTGTTTATGAACCAAATCTAAATCAAAATCATACTCATAAGAATGAAGAACAATCTGGTATGTTGCAGATCCTCTCTTTTTCTTTGAAATTTATAGGATTCTTATTTTTTGTTCAGTTACAATACCAAAAAAATCTGAACGTATACAAGAATGGTTATCTTCATGTGACACAAGAGAAGAATCAGATTCTCAAAATAATTTATCTTTACGTAATCACACTACTAGTCCAACAACTCAATTAAAAATACGTTGTATGGCAAAACCAATGCGATATTCAAGTCCAGTATCTCCATCATATCACACTCAAAATCATCTACCATCAATTAACAATGAAATTGAACCAGGTCGTTTTCGAACATCAGTAAAAATAAATCTTGAAACAAATGAACCTATTATACATCCACGAAATCGATTGTCATCATCGACATCTAGATATTATCAACAACTACAAACTATAGCCGATCAAGATTTAAATATTACAGATCATAAATATTATCAAAGACATGCAATATCACCTAGTTTTCAACGTGATCATCAAGCTGTCTATCTTTAATATCATAGACTAATTCTATACTTTTTCTTTTTTTATGTTACCATTGTATATATTAAATTTCTATCAACACTTTTCAAAATATATGTATAATAGACTATCATTTTTTTATTATTATTATCATCTTGCTTACCGACGGACGAGTTTGATTTAATTGATTTAATTGATTCGATATATCGCATCAATTAAATCATTCTCTCTCTCTTGTTCTCTCTTATTGCTTGCATCAATTAGTTAACATCATTAATTGATGCGAACATATTAAACTATTTCAAGAGTATATATCGGAAATATTTTTTAACAAACATTACTAACATTTCTTGTTAACATTTAATACAATACAATACATAACCATGCAACAATCTCAATCATCATCATCATCATACATGTATCCATCATCACCAACATCAGATTTATCACTTTATGATTCTGCTTATTCATCATATGTTTATTCATCACCACCACCACCATCATCTTCATTTCATTTTTCATCATGTCCATATACAAACGAATCATTCTACATGCCATCACAAACTTGTAAGTGAATCTCATTATAAAGAAAAACAAATCTTCTATATTAATTTTTCTTATTTTAGATCCATCATATTACAGTCCAACACCATATCCAATGACACAATATTCAGAACCATTTGCCAGCAGTACACCAGTTCCAATAAGTAACGTATGTCTTATTCCATCAATCAAGGTAAGATTCAAACTATTTTTTTCATGTTGATGAATGAGAATTTATCGTGAGTAATTAGCTTTATAATAGTAGTCAATACTCATTTGTACATGAATTATCTTATATTTCTTTTTTTTGTCTAGGATTCACAACCAAGACGCCGTCGTCAGCAACAACAACAACAGTCAACTACATCATCACCATCTCTATGTCCAGTAAGTGATTCTTATATGATTATATCTTATAAATTAATATGTTTCTCTATTATAGGCACGTAAACGTATTAGTGATGAAGCTATTGAACATCTTAATGCATTTTATGCAATGAAAAAACGTCCAACTGAAGCAGAAAAAGATCGTCTTGCTATGGAATGCAATATTACATTGGCACAAGTTAATACATGGTTTAATAATGCTCGTTCACGTCGTGGCGATACAAATCCAAAATTAGCTCAAAAACTACTTAAACAACAAATTGATTCGTTAAACAATCAAGTTAATCTTCTTCAACAACGACAACAATCATCGTCATCTGAACATGTTTCTTTTTGATTCTTATTTTTATACATAAATTGTGTGTGTTTTTTTCTCTATTGACAAATAAATAGTAATAAACATATTTACTTTTTTTTTGAATAGCTAATAATTTTTATTCATTAGAATAAGACGTTTGCATAATTAAACATTTGAGTTACGATTTAGCAAAGAATGATTTAGTGTTTGTGTGCCAATCTTTCAATGTCATCGCAATAGTTCTAGTATGTAGATGAGATAGAATGAGCTGATTATATGTCACTTACAAAAATTTATCTCTATCTATGATAAATTTGTTGGATGTATAACGCAATTGTGTAAATAGACATGTTCTTTAGGTAGAAGAATATATATTGTATAGTTATTCGATCTTATTAACTGAAATCAAGATATAAGAGAAAGTAGAAAATGTTTGTAAAAGATGAGAACATTATTGTCTGACTACAAATATATGTATAACCTTGGTTTTTAGCATATGGAATAGTTTGATTTAGTTTAGCATATGAATAGTAGTAATAGATCATAAATTTAAATTGAATTAATTTCATTCTTATAAGAATTTAATAACCGCTAAACTGTATATATTTATCAAGAAATGTTTTAAATCATGTATTGATATTAGCGATTACATGTTGTATTTTACGTATAATACTACAAACTGTCCTGTCGTTTATATGAATGTTTGACATTCGATATGTTATTTGCATATATACCATAATCCACTATTACTATTTATTAAACAGGAAACACATGATCACGATTGAGGTTATGTGTGCATAGTGAAACTATGAATATGTACATATACATCATATATTTGTTCCACATTCATCTTTAAAAAGTCATGTACACTTTTTTTTAAAACTATATCTTCAAATGAATAAATCAAAGATAAGGCATAAAAGCATTAATTTTGTAAAATGTCTGAATATTATTATCAAAGATTAGTGTAGTTAGTATATAAATTTAAAAATCATTGAATTTTGCCAGATATATGATTATTGCATAATTTTTTCTTTAATCGTTTGTTGATATGATCATTTTTCAAGAAAAAAAAAATCTTGAAAAGTATATAAGTTTATATCATCTTTCTTTGTTTATTAGAAAGACGAGAAGAATCATTGTTCAGTGGATTTTTATGATATTAATAATCATCTCATATAGCCAAATGTCAACTAAGACAGACAGCGAGAAACAAAAAGTGTGTTTTTTTTTCAAATGATATTTTATCAGGAAGATTTTGTTCTTAACTTATAGTATGAATACTTATTCTTAAATTGATTTGTATATATATTTGATAGTCTTATCAATGATTAAACCAATCATTGAATGTCTTCTAAGGTTTATTTGCATCTAATCTATTCTCTTTTTTTCTTCTCTCTTTCTTGTTTTACTAACAACTATGACCTGAACAAAGAACGAGGTAAAAATTATGTGATTCTCTTCTAATAAATTAGGTTATTTCAGATATACAATGATGAAATTATATTTATTATTTATTTTCTACATTAAAATTAATTTTACTTCTGGTCAATTATGTCAAAATGATATTCCAGACTTTTTTGTATGTTTAATTATAATAAAAAAAGTTCTCTGCATTCGTCTGTTCTTTTAATTTTAGTATAATATTAGTTTTGCTGGACCACTCTTTAATCAGACAGTTTATACTAGTCATTCTGATCTTTCTGTAGCGACTCCAAATGATACAACAGTATTCCAATTTACTGTCCGATCTCGAACAAATTACGATCGACCTAGTTATATTTCAACAAATTTTACTAGTCGTATTCTGAGACAGACAGAAACAAATATAGATGTAACATCAAGTGATCCAAGTTTTATTGTTAAGAAAGACGACAGTCTTAATGATACTTACAGTCTTGTTACTAATACTTCGTATGTATTAAAAAATAAGTACTAATTCATTTGATATATATAGATGTTGCATTTAGTCCATTGAATTATTCTTTACCTTACAATCGGTATTTATTTGAATTAATTGCAAAACAATATTTTTCTGATCGACCACCAGCAGTTTCAACAGCTTTAGTTCAAATAGATTTAAAAAATGATAATGTTCATCGTCCAAGATTTATTTCTGATAAACAAGAATTTTACATTAGTGAAACAGCTGAAATAGGTACACAATTCGGTACGGTTTATGCGACTGATGATGATAGAGATGAAATTTTCTATTCGACAACAAGTACACAATTCTCAATTGGATTATATACAGGTGTTTTACGACTTGAACATCCATTTAGTCCTGGTTTATTAGTCGATCATTTTAATGAAACAATCACAATTAAAGATTCACCTTGTTTGTTATCAGATCCTTTATGTCATTCAGAATCAATAGTAATTACAATTTTTATAATAACAGTCAATAAAAATTCACCAAGATTTTTACAAAATATATGCGGTACAAGTATACAATTTCCTGAGAATAATATAAGAGAACAAACGATCGCATTATTATATGTATATGATGATGATCGAGGAGAAAATGGACAAATTAATATATTATTTCCATCTGAGCAATCAAGAACAACAGGTTAATGAATAATTCAATAGTATATTTAAATAAAAAACAAATTTTTTCGTTTTTTTCTGTTATGTAGTTAGTGGTTTAAGGAATACAGCTTATTCTCAGTTTTATATTGAACAATTGAATCAAACAGGTGCAACGCGTCAAGCTTTAATTAAAACAAATGAAATATTTGATTATGATGAACCAGGTAATAAAATGATGATAATTTTGTGAGAATAATATTTTCTTCTAGGTACTACACGAGTTTGGTATTTATTTATATTAGCTATGGATAATGGTAAACCTCAACGACAAGGTCAATATAATATTTGAAAATTTTTCTTCTAGTTTAAAAGTTTTTATTATTTCAGCATTTTGTAGTTTGCGTATTGATTTAATCGATATTAATGATAATCGACCAAGTAAAGTTAAATAAATCAATTAAATAATATACGTCAATTTATTTATTCATTTAGAATTTGCTATGACATCTTGGAGTTATACAATCTATCGTTCATCTTTTCCTACTATAAATAATACAACTCTTTTACGTATAGTTGCAGATGATGCTGATTCAGGTTTAAATGGTTTAATTAATTATTATATTGGATCATTATATATTCCATATTTTACAATAAATCGTAGAACAGGATATATTGCTTTTCGTAGTGATATTTCTGGAATAGAAGCATTGGACGCTAGTCGTTTTCCAATAACATTTGATGTGTATGCACAAGATTGTGGTACACCACAATTACTTAGTGAAAATAATGCAACAGTAACGATTTATTACAATGACAATGATGATTTACCACCTGCAAGATGGCTTAATCCACTTAATGAAAATTTTAATATTTCGATTACAGAAAAATTTTATGAAAAATATCTAAATCAGCCAGTATTTGATAATAACTCAAGTTTTAATGGATCGATTATGTATACTTTAACCTCAGATACATCATCTATTATGACTGTTTATAGTCCATTTCTAAATCAGACAAATATGCCATTTCGTGCTATACCAGTTATAAAAGATGGATCGATATTTAGGAGTGGTATTGCTGTTATCAAGTAAGAGTTTAGAATCTATCGAATAAATAATTCAGAGATTTTTATGAGATAAAATATATCATATTGAGATACGTGAAGGGAAACAATCTAACATGACTAAAAGTTCGATAGCGAATTCCATGAAATTATTATGCTTGATATTGTATAATCTTTAGTGGTCTTCATGCTGAAATTCAAGATAAATATGTACTTTATATTCGTGTTCTTGTTGATCCGCCATTAGTGGATTCAATAACAATAAGATTAATTGATGAAAATGATCAAATTCCAACATTTGATATTCGTTCTATTACTTTGAGTGTTGTTCAAAATGAACAGGGAAGACGTATAATTGCACAAGTTCAAGCATATGATCGTGATGTTGATGCTAGAAATAATCATGTTGAATATCGTTTAAATCAACAATTAAGTGATAAAGAAACAAATGAAACTTTTCATGTTGAATCCAATGGTACTATATGGACAAATACAGTATTTGACGAAACAAATATCAATAAAACATCCTATCGATTATTTATCACAGCGTATAATACTGTACCATCATGGGATAATAATGTAAATCATACAGAAGATTTGCAAATTGATGTTCAAGTTATTCGTATTAATGAACATCTACCAGGTAAAATTTTGAAGTATCGAACAAGAAAAAAATTATTTATTTAGAATTTAATACGATGAACTCAATGGTAAATATCACAATAAATGAAACAACATCAAGTGGAACTACTATCGGTAATTTTTCAATAGTCGATAAAGATATTGATACAAAGCTTACTTTGGGGATATTAAGTGGAAATATTCGTAATGCTTTCAAATTTATTTTATTATCAAATAATTCAGATAATCCAAATCGTACACAATATGAAGCAACAGGATCACTAGAAGTTATTGCCCCATTAGATTATACATCACAATCAATTTATACACTCACTTTATTCGCATTTGATACAAAAAATACAGTAACACTTATTGTAAATATTACATTAACTGCACAAAATACTAAAGCACCTTGTTTCAAACTAATGCCTGGTTTTACTTCTTTTGAATATAAAGTCAATGAAGAAACTGCATATACAGTACTCGATGGATCTATGGTAAGTTGTTATGACATACTACAAATACATATTTCTACTTTTAAATAAAACTGGGTACTATTTTCTACCTATGTATTAATTATAGTAATTTTTCATATGAAAAGTAATCATTTTTCTATTAACAAATTACTTTATTAATGCATCACTAATTGTCTCATATCAAATTCTATTTAAATCAATGTCACAAATGATAATTACAAATTCTATTTTCGTGTAAAATTATATTTCTTAAAATAATTAATTCTATTTAGATTAAAGCAATTGATCCTGACAATCTAACAGCAACTCTTCATTATAAAATCTATGATACTAATCATCAATTAAATTTAAATAATTTAGTTTTGAATAAAACTGATGATTATATTACAATTGGTATTAAAGCACCGGGTCTTTCTTATGATTATCCATTTGGTAGTTCAATATATAATTTTGCAATTGAAGCAATTGATGAGAATGGAACAGGTGTATCGAGTTATGTACCAGTTCGTATTAATGTAATCAAGGCCAATAATAAAGCACCCATACTAAAGGTTAAGATTTACTGACATAATTTGATAACTAATTTATTTTTTATTTTAAATATAGAACTTTCCATGGATTATAGATGAAGGTATTAATCCTATGATTCCAATTGAGTTTATAGATTATGATGAACCAGCAAATAGAACTTTATATGAAGTCAAAACTATTAATTCAACGAATTTTGAATTCTTACCTCCTACGTTAAGTTCTAACAAAACTTTTACTTTAATATATAATGGTACTTTAAATTGTACAACAACTAAGTATTTACATGTTACAATTAATGCAAGTGTTATTAATGGTTCGTTTGCAGTAACAACCATTCCAATTATGGTTCGTGGTAAACCAAATAATACATATGCAATATATAATGGTGATAAAATAATAAAAATTCTTTATGTAAATGGTTATCAAAATTCTTTACGTAATATTAAACTTGGCTCAATTTATGTTAGTGATTCAAATGATTGTGTTCGAGATAATAGAATTTATTCTATACGAAATAATAATAATGGACAAAATTTTAATGTTTCAGAAGGTTTTTTAACTACATCAAACGTACTATATCCTGGAGTTTCTACAATATATGTTGATGTGACTAAACTAAGTCTGCCATCAGCTTTGAGTACAATTAAACTCGATGTTCAAAATATTGATAGTGAATATATTCGAGAAGCATCAACAATTCGTATTCAAGGTAAATAAAAATCTTATCTACACTTTGAAATTTTATTGATTTTTCTTTAAGGTGAATATCCTACAACGTTAATTGATCCGACACTTGGTTATCGTCTTGACAAACTTCGTCAAGCACTTGCATCAATATTATCAGTTAAAATTTCTTCAATAATTATACTTTCATTACGTACCGTATATCAATATCGAAATCCGTTTTATCCACCCAAACCTTTGGATGTTGAGAAAGCGGAATCATTAACTGACGTTATTTTTTACGTATCAGATTCGTATCGATATCAAGTTGAAGATAAACTCAATGCGAATCTTGGTAAATTTCAATCAGATTTTCAATTTAACGCAACTGCTAGTGGACCAAATCCTTGTAACAATTATTTTTGTCCTAAAAGTAAATATATGTTTATAATATATATAGAAGTCTATCATCTATTCTATTTTCCACTATTAAGATACGATATGTCGACCCACACGAATTATTGGACTAAATCCTTCTGTTATCGATACAGATCAAGCATCTTTCGTTGGTATTAATATTCTTGATTCAGCTGATTGTGTTAATTCCAATTATACTATTAGTTTAATAAATACAGCACCTAATTGTGCTATATCTGCATATAATAATTTATCATATTGTCCATTGGGATCAGTTTCATTATCTAATGGCCCAGTTGGATCTTGTTGTGAAGTACTTGGACGAACATTTGATGGAAATGATGAAGGATATGCAATATATGATAGTTCAACATTTTCTAATTTTCCTCCAACACGTTTTTCATTTGATTTTCTATTACAAACTACCATATCAAATGGTTTGATTTTATTATATGGACAAAATGTATCCAATATAAATGATTTCTTTTGGATAGCTATTGAAATCGTTAACTTTAAATTAAAATTTCATTTTCGAGAAACTAAATTATACGCAAATAATACTGAATTAAATGCATCAGTATGGTATCATGTTGAATATCAGGTTAATAACTTCTATTATTATTTTTTTTTGAAGAAATTAATTTTATTTCTTTTAGATTCTTGGTTCAAATGTCCTTGTGTCAGTTAATGATTGTCAATATAATGAAACAGTCAATACGACCTTGAACACATATAATTCATCAATTGTTGAATTATATCTTGGTGGTTTACCGCCTAATTCATCTGTATTAAATCTCTATCAATTACAATCATCAGTAAATCCATTTAAAGGTTGTATACGTAATGTTTTATCAAATGGTTATTATCTTGATATGTCTAAACATCATTCATCAAATAATTCTAATTATGGGCAATGTCCTTGTTCAATTACAAAATCATGTACGACCGAAAAAAATACAATTATTATACCTTGGTATACATGGTTAATTATTGCACTTGTTTTATTACTTTTAACAACAATTATTGTAATGACTTTATTAGCATTAATAAGAAAAAAACAACAATTAACAACTTTATCTGGATTGTATATAGATGATACACGAGATACTATTGTTGATTATAAGTAAGTTATAAAACTCGTTTCTATATATATTAGCTGATTTTATCTAAATATTAATTTACAGAAAGATCACTTAATTGTAATTTGAACTATATGAATATTAATTGAAATTTTTAATTATAGCGATTGATTGTAAGTCAGGGAAAACGACATTTGTGAATATTAGAATACTCAAAGCTTTGCATTATTTAACATCCATTATATATATATACATATACATATATGAAGCCTAAATTTGTAAACAAATCATTCTAATTGACCTTTTCTTTTGTATTAGAGAAACTGCCGGAGAAGAAGATTATTCGGCGTATAACCTTCGTATATTAAAAAAACCAATTTATGCTTTGACAGATGGTAGTATTATACTAAATAATGATCAACTAAGTACGAATAATCTAAATAAATATGTCATGGAAAAAAAAATATTTCCATATTTGTTTAGATAATAGCGATCTAATAACTTATGGTCGCCCCTCACTTGGTGATTATATTGAAGAAAAATTAAATCAACGAGTTCTATCACATGCCAATGATACACAATTACGTTATCAATATGAAGGCGTAGGTTCAATACCATCAGATTTAAGTTCAATTGATTCTTTATCATTACAAAATGATATTGATCAGAATTATTTGTATTCACTCGGACCAAAATTTGCACGATTAGCAGATATATATTCTGGAAATTCTAATACTAATGATGAGCTTTGAAAGATTATTTACTTTTTCAGTTCACTACTGATCGTGTATTTTATATATATATGTATTTAATTCCTATATTTTTTACAACTGTATATATTGTTGCATAAAATAATATGAGCCAACAAGAAGAACAAAAAAGGAAGTGGAATGCAACACAATAAACTCTTTTTATCTGAACAAGAATAATCGAAATATGCGAGAATAAAGTTAAAAAATCGAACTAAAATTTATCCTAATAAACCAAATGTTGGAATGAGTATTGATACTCGTCGTTGTACAAATTTATATTCGGGATATTTTCGATATAATCGTTCTTCACTCATTGGAATGGATCCGAAATACATCATTAATGTAATAAGTAATGGACCAAATGCACACCATAATGGAGCATTATGAGAATAACCAAGAAAAAATAAACCCCACCAAAATATAATTTCACCGAGATAATTTGGATGACGACTGTATTTCCAAAGACCAGTTGATAAAACAGAAAATTTATGTTCTCTTGATTTTTTTCTATGACATCGAAATTCTGCTAATTGTTTATCAGCATAATTTTCTAATAATACACCCAGTAAAATAATTAACAATAATAAAATATCACCTATTGTTAAATTTTTATGTATATTATTATAAGTATAGATGTAATATATTGATGATGAACCAAGTAATACTTCAAACATTGGTAATAAATGTAAAGCAAAAAATGCAAATATTAAAAAATTATTTCCATATTGTTTTCTCATCATTTGATATCGCCAATCTTCATGTTTAATATTATCTGATGACGATATTGTTTGCCATATCAAATGACTTGACCATAGAAAAATGAGAAGAAAAAGTGGAAGACATTTAAATGGTAAAAATTCTATGGAATTTAATGTCAAATGAAAATAAATTGAAGATATCAGTGGAATTAATGGCCAATGGAGATCATAAATATTATTTGATAAAAAAATAAAGTTACCAATTAAGAATAGAAGACATGTGACAATGAAGTCGATTATATAAATACGTAATAATGGTGAAGAAATCAATGAAAGCAAAACAAAATGTAAAATTGTTGATAGTAAAAGCAAAATCGAATAAATAAATGAATACACAATCAACGGTGATGATGGTAATTTCATGTTTCTTCTAGAAAAATAAAAACAAACAAAAAAATTAGTTTATATGAATAAATTTTGCGAACCGATGTGAAATTGTTTTTTACTCTAACGATCAAATATAAAAAAAAGCAAAAACGACAATAACAACACACAATAGTCAACAAGAACGATCGAGAAGAAAAAAAGGAAAAGACATGATTCGTTCTTTCTTTCTTTTCTCAATAACAACGGGGGCTCACCTTGGCAACATTAGAGTTATAGACGTGTCATTAGTGCAACACACTGTTAAAAAGAAAAAGATTGCCAAAAATTAAGGAAAAAATTCTATAATGGACTCTGATGATCGAACTGATATTTCACGACAGTATGGTGCAATGGAACAAACCTTGACCGCGCCATTGAATAATACGATTGATTTTCTTGTAATAATTATCATTGAAAATATTAAATGTATTATAAGCTTTCTATTTCTTCAGGGACCCGGAAATGACTTTGGTCAAACAACAGTTAATTACGAAGAAATATTAGATGAAACTTCTCGAGACTGTAAGTATTTTTTTTTTATATTGATATTATTAAATTTCTTTTTTTTTTCTATTTTCACACATAAGAAATAACATTCGGTATGTTATAATAAGGATAATGAAATCTATCAAGACAAACAAAAATGTGAAATATCCCAGCTGTGTTAACTAAAGTTAGCTCTCTAAGGCATACAGACGGCTATTACGATAGTACATGCAAATATAGACAGATGTTACTATAAACGATTGGAATGTTTCTTATGACATCACCACGAAAGCTACTTCAAATATTTATACAAGCTAAGATAGAATTTCAGTGAATAAAAACGAATTATTCTATCATTAAGAAAAAGTTTTTCTTTTTAAAGAGCGACATCTAAAAAAAACAAATTATAAATATAATAATATTAAATTTCACCTTTCCTGTAAATATTGTAATCGTTTTATTTGTAATAATATTAACGTGATAATTCGATTTCAAATATTAAATAACAAATTTTATATTTATTTTTAGTGCTCAGTTTTGGTTTTAAAAAAATCGCTAAGAAAAATGATTATATTCGTATAGAAACAATCGGTGAAGCATTTCGTCATTCTGGCCAAAATCCAACAGAAGATACGATTAAAGATATGATTGAAAAAGCGAAATTACTTAAACAAACTCATCAACAAAATGAAGATCCAGGTTTGTATACATTCATATTAAAAAATAATAGATCAAATAGAACAACGGGTACTAATTTGTATTCTTTTATCGCATTTCTTATGTTCGGTTAACTTATAAATTTTTAATACTGATGCATTTGTAAGCCTTTTTTTTTGTTCCGATATTCTTTAGAAGAATATTTTTATTATCAAACCCTTGAAAAAATATTTGCATATTGTATTAAAAAATTGTTTCTTTTACATTTTTTGTTTTATATAGACGAAAAAGCGGATGATCGTTTATCATTTGCTGATTTTTTGACAGTTGTTCATGAATATTATATTCCAACTAATGATGATAAACAACAATTACAAGAGGCATTTGATATTCTCGATCCTGAACAAAAATCAAAATTAATGGTTGATAATTTTGTATATTTACTTAAAAATTGTGATTGGCCAGAGGATGATATCGAACTCCTTTTATCACAACTAAGTCATGCTGATGGTTATTTTGTTATTGATGGTAATAATCTCATTGTTTGTTATTTTAATAATCTACTCTTTATTTTTTAATTTTTCTAGATTTACAAAAGATACTTATAACACCCGTTGAATTACCGAAGAAAAAAGCCGGCAAAGGAGGCAAAGCAAAAAAAAAAGGAAAATGACATTTTTGTTTTCTTATATAAATAAATAAATAAATAAATAATCTTTATTGTTTCGTGTAAAAATATAAATTAGTTCATTTTTCTTTATAATGACATATCCTTTTTTTTGGGGGATACTAATCCAGGGATTCCGTAGTTTTTCATCGATCTTCATTAATTATACTAGCAGATTTTCTTTTCTTATTTTTCTTGTCGAGTACATTTGCTTTTTGGCTATCGTAGGTTTTTTTAGCAGCCGTTTTTGTCCTTGTCGTTAGTCGCCGCAAAGAAGCATATAAACGAAGAAGTCAATCTTAATAGAAAACATCTGACAGTCTTGTGCGAACTATTCTACAAGACAGTCTTCTGTCATATAGATATAAAGAGAAAGAACGTTTGCATTTTATCCAACAAAATGATTCGTACTAAAGTAACAACGATTAGAACATCTCTCATTTCTCGCCATAAGAATTGTGTTCCGTTTCTTTTTCTTTTCTTCACATCATGTATATATTGAGAAGAATTGTCAGACCGTATGTCGATGTCAGTACCCGTATACATATATATTTTTTTTCCTTTACACCCAAAGACTTGATAATAATAAATATAATAATAATAATAATAATGATACCCTGGATACTCATTCATAACTGTACGATAGACACAGCTTCTTCTAAAAATGTAATAAATCGGAAATATAACTGTATTGAATGAAAACGAACAAAACTGTTTATCATAAATTTTTCAAGTGCACATTTAGAAAGGTGAAGTGACGTTTGAATAGAGAATAGGTAATGTAAAATATATATATATAAATTCAAAAACTAATAACAAGGACATTATCGAATAGTTGTCTGTCTCCTATAATCATTGCGTGTATCTATGCATATGTATGTATATAATATTCGTCCCTTGTTATTTTCTTTTTGTTTCGTTTTAACCCTATTCGTTTTTCTTGTCAGATTTTTACATCTGTTACGCTGGTTTTCATGCGCCACGACCGGTAACTTGTTTTTTGTTGGTTGTGCGGTCACAAACAAACAGCGAATAAGCAGAAACGCGAGGCGAAGTAAGTGTGAAAAAAAACGCAAAACGCACGGGGAGAAAAAGAAAGAGCGATAAAAAAAATGAAGAAAGAAGAACCAAAATATATTTGATATCTGTACAGCGAAAAAGAAGAGGTTCTTTTCTCTCACTGTCTCTGTCTTTCCTTCGTTCGTTCTTCGTCTTTTTTTTACGTTGTCGAGTTTCCGCTACATCGACTGTTTTCTCTCTGTCTCTCCTCCTCCTCCTCATCTCTTGTGGTTGCTCTCCTCTGTTGTGGTTGTTTTCTTTTTTTTTCTCCTCTCTCCCTCACTCTCTAGTGCGGCTACGTACGTTCTATCGTCTTCGTTTCGGAAGCGCTGGTGTGTTTCTAGAGTCTCTGATGGATGTCAACGACCTGCAGAAATCACCACAACAGCTTTCTCTTATTCGGTTGACGTTTCGTTTTATTCATCACAGTCGCTACGGCGACGATTCAGAACGCATATAGTGTTCTGAGCGAGCCGGCGTACTCGAAATGCATTTCGACATATACATGGTTTTCGCCGCAATTGTTACTACTGTCCTCTGCTCGTTACCGTCATCATTATCCAATTTAATTACCACTCAAACTAGTTCAATAATAACAACAACAAGTGAGTCTCATTTCTTATCAAATTTAATTGTTTGGATAATATCCAGAAAGTGCCACCATCAGTTTTATATCGATTATCTCTATATTTACTAGTATATATGTATATATATTTATGTGTAGACTAAATTTGACTTTAGTGACGATATTCTACAAGGTGATGTAATGATGTAATTTGATCCCTAATCTGTATCAATTCAGTAATTACTGAGTGTTTCTATCCTTCATATTTCTTTTTTTTTCTTCTTTTTCATTGCATTATTACCGACGCGCGATTAAATCTGATATACACATATAGATATATAGATATAGATACGTGTGTATATGTATGTATATATATATATATATATAAACGTGTGTATAAATATACATGAATTAACACGGCAGGCAACCTTGGAATAATCTAGGGGAATTAGGTAACGAAACGGCACCATATTATCGCTATATATATATTATATTCTTCTGTTTTTCTTTCGCTGGTGAGAGATATTACGTCGCCGTGATGTTGTTTTCATGTAGGAAAACAACGTCAACTTAATGGTAGTTAATGACACTCGTTCGCGCGCAACAATTCTAATAGACGTTAAAAGAATAGAAAGAAAAAGTCCAACACACACACACACACACAACTTCTGTTCTTGAGACATCAGGTGACTTTAGTTGATTTTTTTCAAAATAAAATAATAAATGTGACAATGATATAAAAAGAAAAATATTCTGATTTTTTTTTTGTTTATCTACATATTGAATGTATATCGATCCATCAATCGATCAGCACAACTGCTATTTGTAGAAGATTGACATGCAAACCACAGTTCTCTGACGCGTCAAAAAAACCACTACTATACCATAAGAAAGAGAAGAAAACTAACTACATATATGTATACATAGATACATATACCTCGTTCTTCTTCTTCTTCTTCTTCGATATCATTTAATCTTAATCAAGATTATGTCACCTTGATAAGACATATTCACATAATATTTTGGAAGAAGTTCCATTCTCTTGAGAAAGAACGTGCTTTTTTGGTTGATTTTGATTGATTTCTACGAACTTAATAATCTCGTTCTTTCTTATGCGTAATAATAATTCGTAATAGATAATGAAAGTATATTTCTAAGAATAATTTTTGAGTTAAAAACGACGTTGAATTGTTTGAATGTCTCGACATTTAATTTACTTATCTGTTATCTTATAAGACAATGTTTTTTGCGGTATGCTTACATACACACACATACGCGCACCCTTTCCATCGGCAAAATGAGAACGCTGGCATGAAGGCTATTGCCAAGTAGACGACGCGTTAAAGTCTTGTTGTCGAGCATGATAAGCAAGAGAAAACCTTGTTATCAATGTTGTTGATGATTGTGTTTAGAAGCGGATTCTTATGAAAATTTCTGTCATGGTTTCGATTGATCTTATAAAAATCAATTAGAGAAATATTATTTTTAGTTATATTATGTAATAAACGTGTGTACAATTATTTGATAAGAGGTGCGGTTAGGCATTTATAAATATATATATATACATACAAATGTATTCTTATTGCTTCATATGCTCGTTCATATAAAAGCTCATCAAAGATAATTTTATCTTCAGAGACTAACTCTTCAAGTGCTTCGAACTACTTCCTTTTTATTCGTTTGTCAGTAGTTTTTCTTTACTAATAGAATGAGTATATCTTTTTTCTTGTCTAACCTCTTCAATTTTCAGTAGTCAGTTTAAATGTCTATTCATATACAACAATAGTACAAATTTTCAACGACCTCAACGTCAAATAAATATTTTTTTTTTGTATGTGTACATTTAATGGTCATATGAGACGATCCTACAAGTCTACACTCGACGCCTCGAAATAAATAGTTTCGAGTGGCAAATTGTATCCTTTTTGCGCTCTCTCTCTCTCTCTCGTACTTTTTTTTACACAAAGGTCAATAAACCTACGTTGCATCTGTCTCCAAAAAAAAAATGCTCCACTTGACAGCAACCTTCAAGAAAAGTGTTTGCCATTGCTGCTACAGAGATAACAAATGTACACATTGACAAGTGGATACATGATTATGTTGTATATCAAAAAGAATGAGATAGAGACAGAGAGAGAGAGATTGTTAGTAAAGTCGAAAGCGAGACAAAAACGGCAAATGCCCTTTCTATGATATAGAGAAAAGTTACGAGAACAAAAAAAAAATTTGATCTCCCATTTACATTTGCTATGCCTTGTTTTGTTTTTTCTTTCTCGCTCGTTTTTTTTTTGGTGAAATAGAATACTTGTTCTCAAAGATAACAAACGAGTGATCTTTGTGGGCAGAAGTCGGTCATGACTCGACATACTTTTGCAAATGTCCGTATAATATAAATAAATAATGACTAGAATATTACCGAGACATCGTTATCATTGATATTACCAATAGAATAGACAATTACTTTAAAATCAATTTATATGAATATATCGTCTTTCAAATTTTCTAATCCTTCTATTTGATAAAGATATATAAAATATCGAAGGACATTATATCTAAGCACACCTATATCCTCTTGTATATTTATATATATTATATGTTTACTTTCAATTTAATATATGTATATGTGAGAAGAAAATAGTCGTTTATTGACATCTTTAACTATCAGCAAATATCTAACCAGGCATTCGTATATTAAAGTACATATAGACATAGACAGTCGTTTTTTTGCTCGTCAACCATATTAATGATGAAAAACGAACGATTTAACGGGACTGATATACAAGCAAAACGCAATCAGGCGGAATAAAAGAAAACATTATATACATATATACTTCTAAATACGATATAAACGTTATATAAAAAAAAAAAGGCGCATAGTCATACAGATAGAAATATTGAAGGAGAACAAGGTTAAACATGATTAATGATTATTATTGCGACTGTACATGTATACGTCTATTCATATGAAATACTAATATCAAACATTTGCAAACACATTGTAATATGTATACATATATAAACAAATTGAATAAGCATTACAGATCAATGTCTCTTCCTAATGTCTTATATAAAATATTCTATTCAGATAAATATCTTTTATAAAACAGAAAATCTAATGAATATGTCAAAAAATATAGGTTTTTTATGGGTAATCAATCAGAAACATTTTAAATAATTTCGAAAAGAAATAATTTTTGATAATAAATATATTTATTTTTTATAGCTACGGTCGATCAAGAACAATTTATCTATGAAATTGTCATTCCCCAATCATTACGATCATCAACATCGTCTTCATTTGTACCTGATTGGAAAGCTCGATTAAGAGATAAAGATCAATCCTATCCTTCTCCTGATATTCGTCATAAACATTCATTAGAAACATTTATTAATCATACTAATACAACATTATACTATCGTATAAATGGTTTTAATCAAACATTTGATTTAACATTAATTGAAGACGAAGCATTCCTCGCCCCATCATTTACTACTCAACATTTTGATCAAAATCATACATGGTTAACTAGAGATATTGAACATTGTTTCTATAAAGGTTATATTAATCAAAATCCTTTGTCGACCGTATCAATCAGTTTATGTCACGGTTTGGTATGTATTATTTTATCAATGAGAAAAACATATGTGTGAATATGTTGTCAGAAAATCAGAATTCTATTCTATTCTATTCGATCAATCAATAGAAATTGATTAGAACTGACAGAATGATAGACAAACTGTTGATGTTATTTCTTTTTCGTCCTTAATGAAAGATAAACCTTTGGATTAATTAGAATTTTTCGTTATTAAATCTTTAATATTAAAACGAGGCATTTTCTATTACGAAACCAAAAAAAGAGAATATATATTTACTAAGAAACCATTCTAACACTTTTTATCGATTTTAAAAAGGTTTCATACGAAATAACATCTTGTCAATACTTATCAAAGGTTTCTCTACGTGAAAAAAAATTAATTGCTTAAATTCTATTTAATATTTAAAGGTTTCTTAAAAAACAATTTTTTTTCTATTATTTTTAGTTAGGTACATTTGTGTATAATGATGTAGAATATTTTATTGAACCTAAACATCATGAGAATGAAACTAAATGGAATTATGAACATTTATTTTATACCCATAAGGATTCAATATTATCAATTACAGATAATCCTCAAACAGTACGATGTCCCGTTGATGGTAAATATTTTTTTTTCTTCATATTTTCATATTATTTTAAAATCTATATTTTAGGTGTACCTTATTTTGAAAAAGAAACTTCCTATCCTCATTATCACCGATCCCGAAAACGACGATTTCGAAAATCTTCTAAAAATATTCCTTCCAATTTTCCGACAAATTTTGTCGAAGATAATCTTGCACATCATGTTAAACGTCGAGCTAAACGTCAACTGGATTTTGATCCTACGGCTAAACATGTTGAAATACTTGTTGCTTACGATGAATCAATCAAATATTTTCATTCAGATGCTGATATTAAATCATACATTCTTACACTTTTTAGCTATGTAAGTTTTCTTATTTTTTTAAATAACAAAAAATACATATTTTATTTTAGGTCTCACATTTATATTCCGATGCAAGTATCGGTAATAATATTAAAATATGGCTTGTTAAATTAGTCGATTTAGGCAAAACTTTTACTGTAAGAAAATATTTCGAAATAAAATTTATTTATTCTTGTTTTTTTCAGGATTATATACAATCTAGTGACGATGCAGCTGATACATTAAGTAGATTTTGCGCATGGCAAAAAGCCTATAACGCTGAAGATACATATGATGCAGCTGTTCTTCTTACAAGGTATGACTTATTTTAAGAAAAAGGAATTTTTTTATAATATATTTTTTTATTTTAAGAACACCTCTATGCAATAAACGAGCTAAAAATGTAACTGATAGTAAATGTGACACATTAGGATTAACTGAATTAGGTACACTATGTAATAAAACTTCAAAATGTGCTGTTGTACGTGATAATGGTTTTGCTACTGCATTTACAATTGCTCATGAAATTGCTCATTTGTAAGAAAAATTAATTTATAAAAGAATGAGCATTTTTTTTTCTTTTAAATTTAGATTTGGTATACGACATGATAATGACAAAGCATGTTTAGATCATACCAAAGAACAAAATTTAATGGCTACTTCATTAACATTTAATTATAATCATTACAAATGGTCGAATTGTAGTCGTCATTATTTTACTCAATATCTTGAGTATGTATAAAAAAGAAATGTGTAATAGAAACTGAAAGAAAAGATATTAGTAGAGTATTTATTTATATCATTCTATCTGATATTGATCTTTACTAAATCAGCGCATCTGTACTAATATATTGTTATTTATCATGATAAATTAACTCTGATAATAATCGTAAACGTTACACATACATTTGTAAGATGATAGTATATATAAGCAAAGTACAGCATGATATCTATAGTTAGGTGAATTCTTTACATAAATAGAAGATATTATTTTTCTGATTTCGTTTTTAATCGTCCGATATATTAGTCTTTTCAGTTGAATAGTACAAAATAGTTAAGTTTCTATGCGAGACTTTATCCTATTCTTTGATGTTTATCCGTCGCCTGTCAGTAATACACAGCAGTCGTCAATACGTATCGTGTCAGGAGAAAAAAATTAGACATCACAAGGACGAAAACTATTTTTTTGTTTATTCTTATCTAAAATCATTAGCAATTTCGTATAAAGTTTCTAAATCTATTTTTAATTTTAATTCAATTTTTTTTTATTTTAAGGTCGGAACGATTTCAATGTTTAAATAATGTACCAGATTATAGATCTTTATCATTCAAAGATTTAAATGATGAACAAAAAGCACGTGAATTACCCGGTCGTTTTAGTGATCTTAATGATCAATGTCGTCGCGCTTTTGGTGTTACATTCGAATATTGTAAAGATCTAGGTTTTGGAGTAAGTATCCTATTAATTTTTCTTAATATGAATCTCATTAAAAATATTTTTTAATTAATTTCTAGCCTAAATGTAATCGTTTATATTGTCGTGAAATGTATTCGAATTTATCATCATGTATAACGAACCATGCACATTGGTCTGATGGAACTATGTGCTCTGAACCGCGAACAGAAATAAAAGTAAGAAGAAAAAAACATACCTTAGTAGCCATTGTTATTTCTTGAAATAATTTGATGGATAATATTCCGGTAGTTCGCGTATAAGTGTAGTTTAATAGACACTTGAATATAATAAATGATACATATATTTTTTTTTGCTTCGTCTATATGCACACGTACGCATCTATATATTTTTTACGTGACAAGGACAAAATATGCGAAGGAAAAGAAAAATCCATTATATGATGTATCAAGGACTTGGAATGAAACAATACTGTCTATTTATTTTCTAGCGTTGTTTTCGTGGTCAATGCCGAAGTACCCTTGATCTTCAAGTAGTCAATGGAAATTGGGGTGATTGGCACGCATGGTCACCATGTACACGTACATGTGGTAGTGCTGTACAAAAATCACAACGTTATTGTGATAATCCAAAGTACATATTTTGTTAAATATGTTTTTTTTCTAATTAATTTAAATTTATGTATTTTTAGACCAGAAAATGGTGGACAATATTGTTCTGGTCAATCAACTCGAATACAATCATGTGAAGATAATCCAGTAAATAATATATGAATTAATAATAAAATTTAAATTATTTGCTTCTATTTAGCCTTGTAAAGATCCAATTGATATGTTTCGTCAACGTCAATGTTCAGTTTTTAATAATCGAACTATTGATCCTTCATTACCAATTGGTGTACGATTTGAACCAAAATATAATGGTGAGTAAAAATTAAATTAATGACTTGTTTAGTAATATAATAATTATCGTTTTTTTTTAAATTTAGTATTACCAGGTGAACGATGTAAATTAATTTGTAAAGTAACAGATGATCGACTTGAACGATCATTTGTTCTTGGTGATCGTGTTGACGATGGAACACCATGTGGACGTGAAGAAGAAACAAGAGATATTTGTATGAGTGGTATTTGTATGCCTATTGGTTGTGATCAAAAATATGGATCAAATGCTACTGAAGATGTTTGTGGTGTATGTAATGGCCAAAATCGTACATGTAGATCATATAAAGGACAAACACCAGTCTCAGCTTTTGGTATGTGTTGAATATTTATTTTTTT